TTGAGGACACCCCACCACGCTGGGTGTGAGGATGGAGCCACAGTCTTGTATCTGCCTCTGAGATTTATGACTGAGCTGTGCTGTGGGCTCAGTGCTGCTGGGCTGTCGGTAGGTTTCAGAGTTAATGCACACTCCTAACAGCAAAGTGAGCCGTGGTGAGCGCTGTGGGTCTGCAGTGATTTAAGGAGTTCCCCAGTGATGAGTGCTAAATTTCAGTGGGGAGGGATGGAGCTGCTCTAAGAATGCATCCACTGAGCTTCACTGCATGGGGAAAACGGCCTGGGCTGGGCAAACTGGGAGAGCTGGAGGCCGATCCTGGGGCTCGCTGGTGGAAAACAGCCCGATGACACAGGCACTCGGTGCAGAACTGTTTGCTCATGGCCGTGGCATCCTGTGAGCAATGATGGATGTATTTGTTGCTGTCTCCCATCTCTGAAAGATTTCAGGGCTTTATCTCGAGGCCAGCTCAGTGGGATGTTCCGGGGTGCCCAGAGCATTCTGCCCCAGGGCTTTTCATGGCTGGTGCTGCTCAGCCCCGCTTCACCTTAACTTTGCCCATCTTGTGTTCTTTTCGCTGTACTTTATGCAGGCCAGACAGATGCTGCTGGGCGAAAATACGGCATTTCTGTGGGGTGAGGGGGCAGCAATGGACCCCAATCACTGCTTTTTTGCTCCCAGCACGCACAGCTCCGGGGATGGCACGATCCCACCTCCCGCATCAAACCCAAACTGCCACACGACTCAGCCCGTCTGCGCTGTCCTCCGAGCGCTGTTCTTCTAAAGTACTCTTTTATTTCTTTCCTTTGCATCCCTGAGACCTGCGCTGCCGCCTCCGGCGCTGTTTTTCCCCCGGGTAGGACTTAAGGTTTTAAGCGCTTAGGTCGGGTTTAGCTATTTTAGGCAGTGAGGTGTCTGCCCTCGGCCGGCCCCGCCGTCCCCGCTGCTCCTTGGCCGGAACCGCCCGAGGAGGCCCGGGGTGGTCGGGCGTTATCGGCCGGCGCAGCGCTTCCTGCGCGGGGCTGCGGGCGCCGATGCCGCGCGGGGGGAAGAGCGGATGCGCGGAGGCGGCTAAAAATACCCGCGGGCGTCGTGTTGTCATCTTCCCGCCCTGGAAAGATCCCGAAGGAGTTCCTGCGTGTGGGGACGGGGGGAGGGGGCCATGATTTGGGGGGCTGTGCCTGACGGCGCTTTACTCCGGGAGTTGACCCAGGCGGGCGGTGCCCCGACGCCCGAATCTTTCCGTTTGCTCCCTTTCTCCTTTTTGCTGCAAAACAAATTTGCTCCAAATCGCAGCGGGGACGGAGCGCAGCCCGCCGTGTTCTCCCCGCTGCAGAGCATCCCTGGGGAGAGGACGTGGGACGTGGGGGCGGCGGGGCTCAGCGTTCCTCAGCCCCAGATGCAGACCCGCTCCGGGTGCCCGACCTCGCCTGAGCAGATTATTTTCCAGCTGATCCTTTTCAGAGCAAAGCTGGGAAATAATCCCCCCCCGCAGCCGGGCACCCCCTCCCTGACCCGCTCCGGTCCCCCCTCCTGGCTGCGTTTTGGGGGGTGGGTGCTGGGGGGGAGCTTTGCGGGGGCTTTGTCACCGTCACCTTCAGTAATCCCCATTTAGTACCTGCGGGGGGGACGGGGCGGGGGGTGTGAAATGCTGGGGGTGTGAAGCGATGCGGCGTGGGGCTGGGTGTTGCCGGGGTGCCCCCACGAGAGATCAGATGGGCACTGCAGGTGTAGCTGCATCCCAGTGCTGTGCAGCGCCGTGCTGAGCCCTTTTGGGGTGCGGGGGTCCATCCCCAACCCCCCAGTGGGGTGGGGGCTTCCCGTGTTGCTGGTGGGGAAGCGGCTGTGGGAGGAAAGCTTTGTCCTGCATCCGGAGAGCCCTTCCCGTCGTGGGGAAGGAGGAAGGGTTTCCTCCCAGCACGGCCTCCGGGCGATAACGGGACTTTTCTCTTCCTTGCATTGGAACAGGGAGTTGTTCTAACAATTAGTGGGGCTTTGTTTTGGTTTGTTTTCTTTGTTTTCTGTTTTGTTTTTGTACAACTGGCACCCGGGGCTGAGACGTGTCCCGTTTTCCTGCGGGCAGGTGTCTGCTCAGCTGTGCTGGAGGTGCACGTGGGAACGGGCTCTGTGTACTCAGTGGAAGGGGAGGGAGCCGTGCTGCCCGCCTGGTACACCAGCAGCTCGCAGAAGAAGCCCTACATCAGCTGGATACTGAAAAAGGCAGCTGCTGAGCACTTCCAGGTGATGGGGATGGAGTGGTGGTGAGGTGCCCGTGATGAGGGGATTCTCGTGGTACCACAGGTTGGGGGACGTCCATGGTGGGGAGATGCTTACTGTTGCCCATGTTGGTGAGGGAACCGCGATGGAGAGGAGGTGCTCACGGTGCCCGTGATGAGAAGGTGCCCACAATGGGGAGATGCCTGTGATGCCCATGGCAGGAGGGTGCTTGAGATGCCCACGGAAGGCAGGTCTCTGTGATGAGGGGGTGCTCGTGGTCCCCATGTTTGGGAGATTATGAGGAGGTGCTCATGGTGCCCATGATGGGGAGATGCCCATGGTTCAATGCTGGGGATGCTCAGAGTATGAGTGAGAATGGAGGAGGTTCATGCAGCCACTGGTGCCCCCAAGGCAGGATTTAGGGGGAATTCCCCTCCTGCAGTGCCATCCAGATTTGTATGAGCAGCTCTTTTCTCCCTGCAGATCCTGACGTACCTGGACGGGGAGGTGAAAGTGGAGGAGACGGAGCTGAAGCCCCGCGTGGGGTTCCTGCACCCCGTCCTCACCCACAACATCTCACTTTTCATCAATGCCACGCGGGAGCAAGACTCAGGCCAGTACATCTGCTCCGTCAACGTGGTGGATGACATCATCAGCCCGATCAGGAGCATGGCCATAATCAACCTCACGGTGCTGGGTAAGGACCCACAGGGCGCCCTGCGTCCCCCGGTGCCCCTCGTGCTGGGACTGACGCCGATCCGGTGCCCGCAGTGCCGCCAGCGCCGCCAGCCTGCAGGCTGAAGGGCAGCCCCACGGTGGGAGCCAACGTGACGCTGAGCTGCGCCTCCCAGAAGGGCAAACCCTCCCCCCTGTACAAGTGGCAGCGCCAGGAGCCCACCAAGCAGGTCTTCTTTCCCCCCGCTCAGGGTAAGGTGGGCTGAGGGGGTGGGAAAACCTGGGGAAGGTTTGGTGGGGGGAGAGCTGGAGGGTTTGGGTTTGGGCCCTTGGTTCTGCCTGCCCCCAACTCTGCTGAGCTTCCCCTTAACTCTGCCCGCGCTGTTCCTTGTGCAAGGGGACAGGCGAAAGTCCCCATAGCTCTGCCCACTGCTGGAACGTTGGGGGAGCATCCCCTGCACTCTGCCCCTGACCAACCTCACCCTGGGGCGACGCAGGGGACCATCCCTGTAACTCCTCCTGCTCCCATCCCCTGGGAGGTGTGCGGTGGTGGGCAGGTGATCACAGAGCAGCACCTCAATTTCTGCCCCGCAGACCGGGCCAGGGGAACCCTGAAGCTGACGAACCTCTCTCTGGACATGTCGGGCCTCTACGAGTGCGAGGCGGAGAACCGCGTGGGTTCAGCCAAGTGCAGCATCATCCTGGAGGTGCAGTCAAGTGAGTGTGCGCCCGCGGGGCTGGGGACAGGGGCTCGGTCCCCACGGTGGGACAGGCGAGAGGCAAAGATCTCCCCCACCCGTCTGTCCTGGCAGCCAGCGAGGGGGCCATCATCGCGGGCGCTGTGCTGGGCTCTGTGGGCGCTTTGGCCACCGTCGCCTTCTTCACCCAACGGCTGCTCGGCTACCGGAGGAAGAAACGCGACGGGCAGGAGGAAGCGGCCAACGAGATCAAGTGAGGGCAGCCCCCGGGGCGGGGATCGCCAGGGCTCAGTGGTAACGGGAGGAGGTTTTGCACCTCAGTGTGGCCCTCATTGGGTTTCAGAGTCAACACGGCTCTTTCCCACCGTTTTTCCCCCTCCCTTTGGGTGAATTCCCTTTTACCCCCACACGGAGGGGCTCCTGCGGCTCAGCAGCACTGGGGAGCATCATCCGATAATGGGGAGGAGAGAATAGCTGCACTTCCAGCAGCCTGTGCCACCTTCTCCCTCCTCCACAGGGAAGACGCCGTGGCCCCCAAAACCCCCACCTGGACGCGGAGCCGCCCTGCAGACACCATCTCCAAGACCAGCACTTTGTCCTCCATCGTGGGTTCCCGGGACAGACCCTACGGAGCCTCCCCCCCCTCCTACACTGCCTCGGTCCTCACCGCTGCTGGCAGCTACCAGGGACCCCCCCGGGCCGGGCCGCATCCCCCCGCCGCCAACGGGGCCCCCTGGCACCCCCCGCAGCCCGTCGCCCCCCCGGGTGGGCCGCCCCCCTCCAGCCTGGCGCGGGCCGGAGCCGTCCCCGTCATGGTGCCTGCCCAGAGCCGGGCCGGCTCCTTGGTGTGACCCCCCCCCGAAAGAGGCTGCTCCCCTCGGCTCCCCACCCTGCCCTCTTTTGGGGTTTTTTTTACCCTTTTTTCCATTTTTTCTTCATTTTTTTGTAAAGACGCCTGGAGCAGCCGGACTTTCCTGCGGTGTTTAATGGGGCGGGAGGTGCCCCGCTCTGCCCTGGCCAGCGCCCCGACCCAGCCCCGCTCCGAGGGGGGCCCCTTTTTTTATGTATCGATGGAAACGGGATATTTTTCATAAAAGAGCATTAAAAGTGCTGGGGGAAGGGTTGGAGGCGGCGATGGGGAGGGCAGGGAGAAATTCTTTTTAGGTTTTTTTTTTTTTGATTGAAACTGCTTTGGGGTGACTCTGTGAGGGTGCGGGGGGGCGGTGGCCCTGCGTCCCTCGGGGTGGCATCACGTGGCTGTGTGACGTCACACGGGAGCCTTCAGGGCCCCATCGCGCCCGTTGTCCCCATCGCGATGTCCCAGCGCTGCGCCTGGTGGCACGGGGTGACAGCGTGCCCCCGGGGGGCTGCCTCGCCTGTAGACCTGGGCTGGCTGTCCCAGGTCCCTCGGTGATGTCACACCCACTCGGATGATGTCGCAGCAGCCACCCCGCGCCCATCAGTGATGCCACAGCAGCGCCAGCTCCCAGCCCCAGTGCCATCACACCGTGCCACACACGTGGGTGTGACATCACGACAGCCCCGCGTGTCCAGCAGTGATGTCACACATCTGAACAGTGCCCTGCGTGACATCGCACTGGACGTGGCTGCGATTGGTGACACCGGGCTGTCCACCTGCATGTCACAGCTCTCACCCCACTGAGCGACACTGCCGCGTCCCCTCGGCGCCAAGGACAGTGCGGCCGCTGGCAGGGACCTTTATTGGGGCTGGGGTGGGTGAGGGGGGGGGACGCATGCTGGGGTGGTATGGGGAGAAGCAGGGGCTCCTCGGCGGTGGGGGGGCTCGGCAGGGGGAGTCCAGCAGGGCCTGCAAGCAAGGAAAAAGCAGAGCTGTCAGTGGTGTGCACGGGGCTGCCTGTACCCTGCACCCAGCTGCTGCAGCCTGCACCTTTTTCATGCTTGCCTGCACCCTCATCCTGCACCTCACATCTTGTACCTTGCGCCCTGGTCCTGCACTCTGCTTTTGCAGCCTGCGCCTTCTCCATGCCCTGCCTGCACCCTGTCCCTGCAATTCCTACGACTCCCTCCACCCTGCCCCTTGCCCCCTGCCTGTCCCCTCCCTGTCCATGCAGCTGGGGCACCACAAGCCCTTGGGGTCGGAGGCTCAGACCCCTACCCTCGACATTCCAGGATCAAAGGACTTTGGTGGGAAGCAGAGCCCAGCACAGCTTGGCTGGAGCCCACACAGAGATGAGCCCCTGCATGGATCACCCAGCGAGGCAGTCTAACGAGCTCTAACGAGCTCCCCAGCCCCTGCAATTTGTAGCTGTATCTCTGCTTCATCCTGACTTTCTGCAGCCCCATCATATCCTCAATCCATTCCCTCTACATCCTTATAGAATCCTCATTGCAGCCCTACTTCAGCCCCATGCACCTCCATTTCAACCCACTGCACCTCAATGCAAGCCCACTGCATCCCAAGTCCATCCCCGCTACATCCTCACTGAATTCCAAATTCATCACCACCACAGTCCCACTGCATCCTCAGTGAAACCAACTGCATCCCTCCTAAAGCGCCGCTGTCTCCCTACAGCATCTTCACCTGCATGGCATCCGGGTTGCATTCCAGCCATCCCCATTCCACCCCTGCTGCATCCCAGTTGCATCTCCTGCATTTTCCTGGTGCACTCCCAGTTCAATCCCCAGTGCATCCCTATTCCATCCCCCCCATCCCAGTTGTGCTCCCAAGTCCCATTCCATCCCTATTCCATTCCAGCCGCATCCCAAGTTGCATTCTCAGTGCATCCCCCTTGCATCCCAGGTTTTAACCCCACTGCATCCCCTCTTCCAGCCCCTACGCCTCCCACCCACAGCCGCACTGCCTCCCCATCCCCCATACCTGGGTGGAGCCGGGGGGCAGCAAGGAAGCACAGCTGCTGACCCCAGGGCCGTGGGGCCATTCCCTGCTCCCCAAGCACCCCGGCACCCCCAGCCCCACAGCCCGGCGCCGTGGGCGCTTTTAAATTTCCCTTTTCCTGCCAGGAGACTGTGACACAGGCTTTTAAAAATAGCATGTGCTGAGGCGAGGCGTTTGGGGTGGTGTTGCTAAGGGAGAAATTCAATTCAAATCTAGGGCTTCGCCTTCCCCGCCGTTCCTATGCTAACTACTACGGTGCGCCCGCAGAATTAGGGCAGGCAGTGCAGCTGAGCTCCTGCAAGGAGAGCTCCATCGCAGCATCCCAGCGGGACGGAGGGAGGCTCGGAGCTGGAGAAGCAGGGCTTGGGATGGGGACGGGGGCTGTGGTACCTAGTCGCCGTTGCGCAGGTCTCCGCCGCGGGTGCTGTTGGCGCACTCGGCGTCCTTGGCTTTCCGGTCCATCTCCCCCCCCTTGATCTTCTTGCGGGTCATGTGCCCGCGGAAGCTGGCCTGGATCTTGGCCGCCGCCGCGTTGGCGTCGGGGTCGTCCAGAGGGATGTCCAGGATGTCCTCATCCAGCTTCGTGCAGGCGCCCTCCTGCCGGCAGCGAGCGGCCGTTAGGGGGGCGGTTTGGGGCCCGGGGGTCGGGGTCAGGGTGTGTGCAGGTGACGGTGCGTGGTTGTGGGGTGGGAAAGGTGCCGCCATCCCACAAAGTACGGAAAAGCAATGGGGAAACTGGGGAGATGTGGGGGAAGCGACTGCATCGGCACCCTGCTGGAAGCGCACACCCCGTGCACCGCATCCTGACCCACAGCATCTCCCCAGGGCGCTGCGTGGAGCCGGGGGCAGTAATTCACGCCGTCACCTCTGAGGTGTGGAAAGGAGTGAAAAACAGGGGGAAAATCACCCACCGACCAAACGGGACCGGTGGCATCCCACTGCCACTGCATCGCTGCGTCACCCTGCCCTGGGCTCCTAAGGACTTTTGGGAGAGTTCTGGGGGTTCCTCAGGAGCAAAGGGAAGGCGGCCACAGCACGTTCACCCGTGGGAGAAAGCAGCTGGGGCTGATTCACACCGAGGGGTGGTCAGTGCAGGAGCAGGGACACCGCGGTCATCATGCCCTGTGCTGCTGGGGAGGGGGCACGCGGTGTCACTGCAAAGCGCTGCTGTGGCAGTGGGGAGGGTGTCGGAAGCTTAAGTGACAGAGCTGGGGGAAATGCGATCGTCAGGATGGAAATGTTACAGCCAGAGGGGAAATGCTATAGCCAGGGAAGGAATTTTATGCGCAGTGGGGAAACCCTATATCCACAGGGGAAATTCTATACCCACAGGGACAATTTGTATATCCACGGGGGAAATCCTGTCCCCAGGGAGGGCTTTGCCACCTTGCAGGCAGCCAGCAGTGTTGTGATGCCGGCGGAGCAGGAGGGCTAAAAAGGGGGACAAGGAGGGAAAAAAATGGGAAAATAGAGAGAAAAAGGGAGAAAGGGGAAAGCCGTGTGCTCTTCTGGCAGCTGAGCAACGCGACCCGGCCGGGGGATGCAGCGCTGCTCACCAGGGGTGCAGCAGTCACCTCATTCCGAAGCATCAAGCAGCCGCTTCACCCCTCGTCTGTAGGAAACCTTCGCTCCTCCTGGGGAGCCGTTCTGGGGAGATAAGGCTGAACGGGAGCAGAACGAGGTGTCTGCATGCTGGGCTTGGGGAAAGGGGCTGCTGCCCGCTCTGCCCTGGTGGAATGCTGCGCAAACCTGGCGGCAGGAAGGGTTGGGGTCCCTGAGCACCCCGTGAGCGGTGGCGTTTTGGGGTGCCACGCACAGGGGTGCAGCACCCACGCTCCTGCAACAGCACAACGCGCAGCCCCGTGTGAAAGCAAAAAAGCAAACCACCACCACCACCAGAAAGCAAAATAATACCCACACTAATTAAAAACAATCAGAAAGCAGCAGGGTACGTACGTTGCAGCAGTCCATGGCGGTGCGGGGCTCTCGGCGCAGGTGGCAAGTTGAGCGGAGCCGCTTGCCTACGTAATGCGCTTCCTCGGGGCGCCGCTCAGCCCACCTCCCCGCCAGCACTGCTGCTCCTGCCAGGATCGGGATTCAGCTTTTCAGTTTTTTTTTCCCCTTCTCTTTTTTTTTTTTTTTGCCTCCTCCAATTTCTCTCCCAGCGACTCCCCTCGCCTCCGACTCCCTCCTAACGCTTAAAGGAGCCGGCAGCCCATGCCAGGGCTTCATGCAATATAAATCCCGCAGCACGGAAGGTGCTATCAAGTATTTAATGGGATGGGGCGCTGGGCCCTGTGCCCACAGCCCAGATCAGGGCGGGGGGGCTGCGTTTTTTTCCCAGCGGAGCTGATTTCACTGTGGACACGGGGGCCGGGGCGCACCAGGGTCACACATACTGCAGCAAGTGGGGTTGATGTGACCTTGTCAGGGTGAATTTTCGGGGGTGATGACGTGACTTTTGGGGGTGATGTGACTTTCCAGGTGTGATGCTGAGCCCTCAGGCCGGGGGCTTCACCCCCAGCTGTGTTTTTGCAGGAGCAGAAGGAAACCTTCCCACACCAGCTCTGACCTACTTAGCACTGGGCCCCGAAGGAGGGCACGGATGAGGATGGTGAGGAGGGCTGCTCACGGTGGTCGCACTCACAGCAGCATCCCACTCCCAATCTGGGGGTGTTTTCTAGCAAAACGTTCAACCCGACACATCTTTGGGGGTGTTGTGCCAATCCCCTGGGCCACGCTGCCACCGGGAGCCGTGGGGGCCCCCAGAGCAGCTCAGGGGGTGCAGCCGCAGCCCCCCGCATCGCCCACCTCACACTCCTCTAATCCGGGTTTGGGGTTGCTAAGCAACCACACAACTCGCCTGTGGGCTCTGCACAGTAATGCTGGCTCTGGCCAGCCCTCAAATCACGCTGTGGCCCCCCAGAGCCCGGTGGGGATGGGTGCCCCCAGGCAGGCTGCCTGCAGGGCTGGCCTCGCCACCCGCCCGGGGCTTTTGTTGCAGCAACTTCCCACTGCCGTCAGCCGGCGTCATTGGTGCCCCTGTCACCATCGCGGCGGTCAGCACCTCTGTCCTGTTGTCATCACCATCCCTGTTCCTGTCGCTGTCACAGTTCCCACTGCTGTTACTGACCCGTCACCACCCCCACCACAATCCCCATCTCCACCCCTGTCCCTGTCCCCATCCCTGCTCCCATCTCAGTGTCGCTGCCCATTGCACCCCTGTCCCATCCCCTTCATCACACTCATTCTTGTTCCCCCCAACTTCAGCATCGTCATCACCTGCTTCCATCACCATCCTTGCCTCATCATTGCTCCTGTCTATCACCCTCTCTGTCCCCATCCCTATCCCTGTCCCCATTCCCATCCCTGTTCCTACCATCATCTCTGTTCCCATTCCCAACACCCTTTATCCCTGTCCCCATCCTCTCCCATCATATTTGTCTGTCTCCCCCCATCCCTGTCCTCTTCTCCATCCCTCCACCCCTCACTGCCCCTCTTCCTTATCTCCATATCCATTCCCTTCCCCATTCCTTGTCACCATCTCTGCTCCCTTTCCCATCACTGCCCCTGTTCTCTCCCTGTCTGTCTGTCCCCATCTCCATATTTCCATCCTGCCCTAAGAGCGGTTGTGGGGGTTATCCACAGCCGCCTCCAGGCACAAGCACTCGCAGTGGCACACAGGTTGCAGGGCTGAGCATCCCTCGAATCCCCACGGGCTGCTCACTCCTGCTCTCCCAAGCGGAGCCGGCTTCAAGTCCCTGCAAATGCCACCTCTTCCCACCAGCGCGGGGAAAAAATAGCTGCGCTCTCAGCACCGATCTGCTCCAGCTTCCAGACAAAGACTGCACTGCTCAGCCGGTGTCTTCAGATGGGAAACCAATCCCCTTCTCTTTTTAGAGCCTCCGGATTGATCGCTGGTTCCTGGCAAGGCAAGAGGAGGCATTTCTGGGGAGCTAAGCAGAGCCAGGGCGATGGGTGCATCGAGGGGATGGCTGCAGGAAAAATCTGTGCTAATGGGAAACGTCAAAAATCGCTGTGCAAAAAGCTCATCCCACTACCTTCCAAACCTGTAAAATCCCTCAGTGTAAGGGACCTGGGGAGCGTTTTGGCCCTGGACTCTCAGAAGCAGCTCCATCCGCAGCTCCTCAGTCCTGGCAGAGTCACTGATCACCACGAATCCTGCAGGCTGCGGAGGAGGGACGCAAAATGCCAGAACATTTCTAATCATTAGCAGCATTTTGAGCCCATGCCAGCCTCTGCCTTCTTCTCCCCGTGCTGTTACTCACAGTGAGGGCACCCCAAAACCCATCCACCCTGAGCAATGCTTTCGAGGCATTCAGAAACCCCTTAGCATCACCCTGGGATGCAGAATAACACATAACCCATGGGATGGAAATGGGTGACAAGCCCCAGCTTGGGGACATGCCGGCACAACACGGTGTTGGCACAGAACCCTTTGGGGAGCGGGGCTGGCAGCCGGCGAGGCGGCGCAGGGTCAGGGCGCAGCGGCTGGCACCAGCCCTGCATGGGGTCCCCGCCAGCTGTCCCCATCCCTCCTTCCTGTTTTTCTCAGCCTGCACATGGCAGCTCCCGACGCCAGCACTGCAAGGCGGTGTGGCTTCCCTCCGAGGTGAGCCTGGGGGGACTGCAGATTCCTCCACACCGAGCGGCCCTCCATCGCCCATCGCCCATTTTTCGCCCCACTGTCCATTTCTCAGGGCTTTGATTTTTGCCTGGATTTCACCATCGCTTCCCAAACACAGCTGGGAGGACCCACACGGACCCCCAAACTGCTGCAGAGATCCAGACGCATCCCAGCCTTGGTGGGGGGTAGTGGCAAGGAGCAGTGTCACATCCCTCCTTCTCACAGGGACGATATTAAATTTTGACAACCTCCAGGGATGCAGGGGCCTAAATATAGAGCATTAAATACCACCTCGAGGCGCGCGTCTTTGCAGAGCTTTTCTCCCCTCTCTCGGTCGTGCTGGAAGGGCACGGCTGCTAACATTGAGCTTTCGGGGGAGAAACCTCAGGTGAGAGCTGCTAATAACAGCAGGGACCTGGGGAGAGCGTTACCGGAGGCATTTTATTAAGTTCTCATTATGCAAGTGCCTCGGCGCCAGCGCGAGAGAGAATTTTCTGCCCCGCGAAGCCGCCTGGGAGGGGAATGTAGGTTTTCCAATCGCGGCTCCTCATTCTGGGTCAGGACGTTTCCAAACGGGGGCGAGGCGCCCGCTCCCGGCGGAGCCGTCCCGGTTACGGGCTGTCCTGGGGGCCCGGGGCCGGGCGGGGGGGCTCCGAGAAGGCGCTGCGCAGCCCCCGCCGCGTGCAGAAGCCCCGGAACGCAGCCTGGATTTTCGTAGCAGCCTCTTGAGAGGTCAGGAAATCGGCCGTCGGGTCTTCATCGCGACGGCTGCGCTGCGCAGGGCAGGAGGCGGCTCCGCGTCAGGGCACCGGAGAGCCGCGGGGCTGAGGGCCCAGCTGAAGGCTGGAGCGGCTCACCTGGTGCTCCATCACCGCCCCGCTGCTCCGCGGCGCCTCGGCCTCAGCCTTCTCGTCCTCTCCCATCTCCCCGTCTTCGGCCCTTCGGGCGGCGGAGCTCTCTGGGAAGGAAGCGCAGCCTGATGCCCGCGGCAGGGCGGCCCGACGCCCCGGCTGGGCGCGCTGAACGGGGCACGCGGCGGGGCGGGGCCGGGCGCGGGGCTCACTCACGCTCCCTCTCAGCCAGCAGCGCCTGGAAGTATCGGGCGATGAAGCCCAGCACGTCGTCGGGCTGCGCCCTCAGCACCTCCCGCGCCATCCCCTGCAGCAGCTCCTCGAAGCCGCCGGGCAGCCGCGGGGCGCTGCGGGGGTCGAGAAACGACATGGCGGCCGCGGAGAGAGCGGAGAGAGCGGGACTCGAACCCGCGTCCAGCCGCCGCTCCTGCGAGACCGCCAGGGGGCGCCGCCCGCACCCGTCGGCGCCCGCCGCGCCTGCGCAGAGTCGCCCGAAGGGTTGGGAGAGAGGGGATGAGGAGAAGGGGGCGCGTGCGGGTGGGGGGCGAGCAGCAGCGCCCGGCACGGCTCTCAGCCCCCGCCCGGCCTCACGCCGATCCTCGGCCCCCGCCCCGCTCCTCCCTGACCGCCCCGCTCTGAGCTGTGCGGCGGCCCGCGGTCACCTGGCAACGGAAGCGCGGCGCGACGCGCGGCACGGCCACGCCCCCCCCCACGGCCACCCCCCCCCTCGCCCCGCTCCCGGCGCCCTCGGTTCCTGCAGCCCGGAGCTCCAAACTTTGCCGGCTGCTTCGCGGTGTCGCCCCGCGCTGCTCCTGCGCTCTCCTTCCTCCCCGCCTCCCGCTCCGACCCGCGTTTGTCTTCGAGAATTTCTTCTCACCCTTCCCCTTCTCCTCCTGCTGTTGCTGCTCCTCCAAGGGGAAACCTGGGCTCCTTCCTTCCCCCACCTTTGGTCCCCCATTGCCCGCTCCTGCTGTAACACCGGGACGAGCTCTTAAGAAAGGAGCAGCGCCCAGCAGCACTCCCATGAAGGCAGCACAGTTCTGCACTGAAAGGCAACGTCTTCACTTTTTTTTTTTTTTTCAGGAAAGGATGGAAAAATTCAACCCCAGCACATAAGAAAAGGGCGCCCCAAACACAGAGAGACAGAACGGCGAGCTCAGCCTGCCCCCCGACAGCCACCACCACACCTGTAACAAAATCAAAGTTTAATGACAACAACCAGCACTGCTGCTGTGGAAGAGGACAGAGCTGGATCCCAGCAGAGGAGCTGTGGCCAGGCTCAGGAGTCATGGGCGTCTTCATCCTTGGCTTCCACTGCAGGCTTCATTTCTGGATGGGGTTGGAGGAAGAAGACATCATTATCTGGGCCTTTGAACCACCTCAACCCAGCATCCTGGGCTTTTCTCAGTCAGCTAGCCCAGAGCTGCTTGTGCTAGCCTTGCAGTTGCCATGCCAACAAGGATGCTAAATACAGCTCAATCTTTCTTTCTTTCCATATTTATTCATTTTAAAACCACAGACCGCAGGCTGCATGTTCAGGGCCAGGAAAGGAGTGCAGACATTCTGGCTCCCACCCTGCCAGGGATGAGCTGTCTTGCAGAGCCCAGAAACCACAGCGAGCAGCTTGAGAAGACAGCAAAGAAGGTGCCCCCAGCTCCCCAAAAATCCAAGCATGTGAGAGAGGAAGCGTTGGTGTCTTGGGAGCCTGCCCACCACCCCACTGTCACAGCAACAGCAGAACATCACACCAGCACCCCAAAATTTAGTTTGCCCCCACCCATCAGTAGGCTGGGTTGTCGTCTTCTCTAAAAATGAGGACAACCCCCAGCCCCCCAATTAGACCAGAGTTTGGGTTTAAGCCTCCAGCTCTGCAGTCTGCTCAGCAAAACTGTTCCTATAGCAACTCCTGCCCACGCATGGGCTCGTGGTAGCATCACGGCCCTGGCTGCCAGAACCAGTCTCCGGTCAGAAAAAGGGAAGATGGAGCCATCGCCCCCTCAGCGACCCTCTGCAGCACCCCAGTCCAAAGAGCTTAAAGGTCTGGGCAGAGGTTAAGGGCCAGAGCAGACAGATTCTGCCTCACCCCCAAGGTGGAATGCAACAGTGTGGGTGCTGAGAAGACAGCGGATAGGGCATCACTACCGCAAGGAACCTACCGATGGCCTCGCCATTGCCCAGGGGCGTACAAGGCTGGTGTTTGGGCTTGGTGGCCTCCAGCCCGGCCAGCAGCGTCATGAAGTCAACAACGGTGTCGATGTCCTGCTTCTCAGCAGTGGCCTCCCGCAAGGCACTGACAGCATTGAGGCGGCTGAAGGACGTCAGCTCGGAGATGTTGGCCCGGAGGAAGAGGAGGATGACATTGAGGTCATTGATGGGACAGGTAAGCATCTTGCGACTGAGAAGGTCAAAGGCAGGCAGCATCTCATAGACGGAGAGCAGCCCTTTGTCCCACTGACAGAGCTGCAGGGCACTGTAGACGACGACAGGCATAAGGAGGACATACACACCACCAACCGTGAGGCTGATGAGCTGGAAGACAGAGAAGAAGGCCAGCTTGCAGGGTATGAGCGGGGGAATGTGAGGCTCATCCTGGAGCAGCCCTGTTTTGATGGAGCAGCTGAACTCATCCTGGAAGAAGATGTTGAGGTGGAGGAAGACCAGGTAGAGGCAAGTGGCAGCCAAGAACAAGAGCAGGAGGAGGTTCCTCAGGAGGTAGATGATGACCAGGGAGTGGGAGTGCTGCTTGCGGGCAAGGTAGCGCTCCAGCAAAGGGAACTCGAAGTACCTCTCCTGGCGAGCCCTGGGGAAAGAGCAGTGAGTTGGAGCCACCCAACGCTTCACCAAAGCCACAGTGAGGGAGGAGGTGACCCAAAGGCGGTGTGGAGGGGCTACAGCTGGATGCCTGCGCCGCGCCGTCTCACCTCTCGTACTCCTCCCAGAACTGCTCCGGGTCATCGCTCGCCTGCTGGACCTTCCTCATGTGCTGCACCAGGCGCACGGAGCGGTTGTAGGACTTGTCCAGCTCGTCGATGATGAAGAGGAGGTCAGAGTGGAGGGCGGGGGAGGCTGCGTAGCGCCACAGCAGGTAGGGCAGATACATGAGCACCGCCACCACCAGCAGTGAGTATGGGAAGACCTGAGGGAGACATCTGTAGGTTAGGGTTCCCCAGGAGAGAGGGATTTCAGGGGGAGATGAGGTGCTCAGCTCCTTTGCCCTTCAGGATCCGCCCCCACCAACACGGCAGCAGGACCTGGTAGCACCCAGTCACCGAGGTGGTGGCCCCGTGCCAGCCCACCAGTGTACCTTGAGAGCCCAAAGGGACTTGGTGACAGCACGTCCCTCAGCATCGAAGCCATGGTGGAGGAGTAAGTCCCAGCAAGCTGTGTCAGCATAGGCAGATTGCTTCCCCGTGAAGTTGGAGGGCGAGAAACAGCTGATCTGTGAACCTACAAGGAGGAGGGGAGCTGAGCAGGTAGGACGGGGCTCTCTGTAGTTATCTGTCCCTGTTGCAGTGTTTTCTGGCTGTCAGGGGCAAGGGCGTTACTATTTCTTGAACCTTTCAGCCTTTTTTAAGGCTGCCCTTTAAGCACAGCCACAGGTTCATAGCAGGGAAATTTGAACCAGACACAAACCAGCACAAAACCAAACATTGCAGGGCCACATAAAAACAGTGGCAAATCCAGTTTTAGCTCAGTGCTGTGATGCACAAAACAGCACCTTCAATGAAGCTTTGTGCTGCTATCACCAGCCTGCTCTCATTATCCAAGCAAGCACCAAACTCTGGGACAGTAAAACCCCCAAAGAGTCCCAGGGAAGATCTTAGCACCCCGCTGACAGCTCCCAACAAAACAACCCTGCCTTTCTGATAGGAGCACTGCAGGGTGCTGTGAGCAGAGCAGCAGGTGAAAGGGGGCATGGCTGCACTCGGAGGGCTATCAGCAAGCAATTAAAAAAATAATAAATAAAAAATCAATAAAAGCTTTTACATCAAACAAAAAAACCCTGTCAGGTTGATTCAAATCAATTAAAAAACAACCAATAATCCCAAGACAGAAAATTTAAAACCCCTAAAGTGGGATTTCCAAGCTGTAATGTCATGACAGTGAAAAAACAGGCTGTGACAGTTCTCACCACCCCAAACCTGCCCCCACAACTCACCAGCAGAAAACTCCCGGGCGAAGGCCAGCGAGACCAGGAAGAGGGGCAGCCCCACTGCGATGAACTTCAGCACGCGGTCGCTCGGCAGCTCCAGCCGCAAGCCTTTGGCACGGGAGCTGCTGGGCTCTGGGAGGAGGGCATCTGAAAGCATGTACTCAGCAGCCGTGTGCGACAGGGACATTTTCCTCTCCAGGAAGGACTGAGCCACGGGGAAATGGAGTCCAGTGCTGCTGCCTGGGGGTCCTGGTGCTGTCTGAGGTGCAACCAGCGTGGCGAGAGGCTTTGTATGGCTGGAAACATTGCATGCCAAGTGCTACCAACCAGGCAGCTGTAAATGACAGCTTAGATAGTGAGTTAAATCAACTGATAATTACAGGGGAAGCCTTTCACTGGCAAGAATGCAAATAGCGTGCCTCAAAATAGAAAAAAAAACCTCGCAGTCACAGCACCATGGCCAAGGCAGCATTCCTGCCCAGCCACCATGGGTCCCAGCATGGACCAGATCCCCGTGGTTTTACTCCCCTCTGTCATAAGTAGGTGTATTTCCAGCAGCATGTTCGTGGGGCGTGGGGCTCCTGGACTATTTTTGCTTTCTGTAACAAGTGAGGATGGGGCATCACCCTAACCAAGAGCCCTAGCCAGGTACAGAGCGGCCTCATAGGGTACAGAGCCTCCTTCCAGCACTCCTGTGCGTGCCAGGGCTGCTGGAGAAGGTCCTGCTGCTCAGTTCCCAAACCCTGGGGACAGGCCAAGTGGCACCAGGAGCTGAGAAGACATCAGTGATTGCACTGTTGAGATGCACACCAGCTGTTGCAAAGCTGGTGCGCAGGGAGCAATCTCCCCTTGCCCACCCTCTAATCTGGCTCCAGGGGAGCGCAGTGGAGACAAAGCTGCAATTTCCAGTAGGACAGAGATGCAAGTATTGGGATCTAGAAAAAAATAGTATGGAAATTAGGAGTTGGTGAGATGGAACAGAGGACAGGAAAGCTCCCAGCTGTGGCAATACGACTGCTGCCCAAGAAGCCAACAGCCAAAGCCAGGGGAGCTCTGGATTGTTCAGTCAAGCTGAGGGGAGTCCCTGCCATGCTGTGGCTCTGGGCAGCCTCTCAACACAGCCAGAACTCACAGCTGCTGCCAAATTTCACTTTTTCTGTGTTGTTTTGGGTTTTTTTTTTGTTTGTTTTTGTTTTTTTTTTTCCTCCAGACAAAGGCAGTCTCCAAATTTGAGTGCCAGGATGTAAGACAGTACAGAAGGGCTGAGGCAAGGAAGCCCTGAACCGACTTGCATTACACTCAGAGGTGTTCAAACCTGCCCAGGCACTGAGGTCCACCTGTCCTGACCACGGAGAGCCACACAACCTTCACCTTTGCAGAAATGGGTTCTTTATTGGACAGGGACAAGTTCAGAGCACAGAATGGTCGATGCCCAGTTTCCACCCAGTCTCATCACTATAAACAAGAGTGCACCCACCACACTTTCTGCTCCAGATCAGGTACGGACTGTGGACAAGAAGTGCACAGAAGTTAAGCCAGCAACTCCATTACCCGAAGGCAAGGTGTCTCCCAAGTAGCAGAACACAAACCTCATCACACTTGCTGTGAGTGAAACAGCAGTGCAGCACAGCTGGATCCGGCACTGTCACGTGCCAGAAGTATGGAGACACAAAGGATCAGTCCTGTTGACAAGCCTCGGCCTACTCCATAGCAATGTCCAGCTCCAGCTTCCTCAGCGCCCTGTGGAAGAAGCTGGGTGGCTCACACACAAGGTCTATCTGCTTGCTCCCACTGGTGCCCATCGGCAGGGAGAGGCGGTAGGCATGGAGATGCAGGGGGAGGTGGCGAGACTTGCTCTGCTGCAGCTTCAACCTCTTCAGAGTTATTTCAGGAAGCTTCTGCATTGAGGACAGAGTGGTGTGAGGACAGCCCTAACACCCTCTTCCATAACCCCGTGTCAGCAGTCTGGTCCCAGAATCCCAGTGTGTGCCACTAAGCAGCTGGTGCCTTCTCTGCCCTGCTCCATGGCACCATATCTGCCTTACCTGTGGTGCCAGCTTGCTCCAGTGCGAGTATTTGTGATCCCCTAGGATGGGGCACCCCAATCCATAGGCCAGGTGAACCCGGAGCTGGTGCTTCACTCCTGAGATGAGGAAGGAGAAAAGGAAAAACATCACATCAGTCACACTGGGCATCAGGTCTTCGCTCACTACCCACCCAAAGCACCCTCATGCCAGGTAACCTTGTGCTGAGAGCCCTGGCAGCGAAACAGCACTGGTTCCCAGAGCCTTGGCCATATCCTACAGCTTGATCCTCCCTCCAGGACTGCTCCTGGCTGTACAGAAGGCACAGCACAGAAGCACCTGGCTGAGCCTCACCTGTGATGGGCTGGAGCTCCAGCAGAGAGCAGGCAGACGAGCCAGCCAGAACGCGATACCGCGTCACAGCGCTTTCAGCATTGCGGTTCTTGCGGATTTTCAGCACCTTTCCATCCTCAGGAGACACGCGGTAGTTTGGGGCCAGCGTCATCTGAGCCACAGCGAGAGGATGAGCCCAGGAGAAGGGGAAACCAGCCCCAAACTGTGACTGAGAGGATACTTGCTCACCTTGTAATGAGGTTGGTGGCTCTGCACCTCCCTCTCCACCATGGGGATTTCCACAATGCCCTCAGCAGGGTCTGGGCTCCCCACGCTAATTGCCCTGCAAAGGAAAAGCAGAGGTCTGCATGATGCTGCTGCAGCCCTTTGCACATCCAGCAGGATAGAAACTCTCCCTCACCTCTCACTTTTCTCCCCAGGAGAGACCCCCGAACCGGGAACTCAAGCATTCATAGTCATGCAGACAGTGGGATCGACATTGCCACCAAGCGTGCCAATGGCATCAACCTGAGTGGTGCAGTTGGTTCAAGGTCAGGTTGAATGGGGCCTTAGGCAACCTGATCTGGTGGATGGCAATCCTGCCCGTGATCTGTAATGTCCCTTCCAACCTAAACCATTGTAATATTCTATAATCAAACATCCACCACTTCCCAGAGTTCCACATCCCCATATCTGCACACTCGTGACACTTTGCTGCTTGTCAAAGATACTTCTGGGCTCTGGCCAGTCTGATCTACTGGTTGGTGACCCTGCTTAAGGCAGAGGAGTTGAACTCAGTGATCCCCTCAGTCCCTTCCAAACTGAGCCCTTCTATGATTTTTCTTCCAAAACCTTTCCTACCAGTATATCTTTTCCACCTGGCGAGTTTTGAAGAGGAGCCGGATCCTGTCTGCTGCCTCCCTGCTCCGTGCCAACACCATCAAACCCGTTGTCTCCTTGTCCAGCCGATGGCACAGGTGCAGTGGTTCAGCTTTCATGTTTATCAGCATCTTGGCCAAAATTGGCAGCACATCAGCGATACAGTTCTTGACCCCAGGGCCACCTGCAAAACCCAGACAGGCATTCACATCCCTGTTAACTTTAATGCAATCAAAGGGACACGGCAGGATTTCCCCACCCTTGCTCCCCTGAGCCTCCTCTAAATTAAACAATCTCAGTTCCCTCAGTCACTCCCTGTAAGATTTGCACTCCAGACCCTCAACAGCTCTGCTGCCCTTCTCTGAACGAGCTCCAGAGCCCCCATGCCTGTGTTGCAGTGAGGAACCCAACACCGAACGCAGCACTCGAGGTGCAGCTGCACCAACTGCATAGAGAGGCACAATCACCTGCTCCTGCTGGCTGCGCATTTCTGATACAAGCCAGGATGCCATTGGCCTTCTTGGCCAGCTGGGCACACTGCTGGCTCACATTCACCTGGCCGTCAGCTGCACTCCCAGATTCTTTTCCTCTTTGCAGCTCTGGACTCTGCCCCACACCCGTAGCATTACAAGGCGTTATTGTGAGCAGGCGCTCGGTCTCGCTGAATCTCGTCCCACCGGCCCTAGCCCGCCAGCGCAGTAAGAAGCAACAGGGAACCGCCGGCCCCTCACCGTGCACTGGCAGCCCGTAGGGCTTGTTGAGCACCACCAGCTCCTCGTCCTGGTACACGGCTCGCTGCCGGAGCGCCTTGGCCAGCACGTTGTGGTGCACCCGCTGCAGCGCGGCCAGCTGCCGAGCCCGCCTCCGCGCCGGCTCCGCGGCCACCTGGAGGAACGAGAAGCGGATGGAGGCGACCGGGCCCAGGCCAGGAGCCAGCGCCCGGCCGCGCTCACCTCTCGCTCCTCCTCCTTCTTCTTCCTCTCCTCGCTCCGCTTCGCCCGCAGTCGCTCCGCCAGCTCCTGGGCCCGCACCGCCCCCGCCGCCGTTCGTCCCAAGGCCTCTCCCGGCCGCTGCCACAGTCGCCCACTGAGCGCCGCCATTTTGCCGGCCCTCCTCCGCTCCTCCCCTTCCGCTCGCCGGAGGGCGGGGCCTCAGCCCAGCGCCCAATGGAAAGGGCAGAGGGAGACGAGCGACAGCACCGCCCGCCACTAGGAGAGGGCGAGGTAGGCCTTCAGCCCAGGCACCCAATAGGAAGGCAGAGGGAGACGAGCGACAGCAGCGACCACCTATAGGAAGCATGCAGGTGCCCCACCCCGCCCGGCAGTTTGAAGGAGAGCGGCGGTTGGGAACCGGCCACGGCCGCGGCGCGAGGAGGGAGCGGGTGAGCAGCTCGCGGGTACCGGCCGGAACCGCGCCGCGTTCGCGTCGTGCAGCGCTCACGTCGCGTCTCGCTTCGTCGTGCCCCGGCAGCCCTCGGTGCCCCAGGCCCGGCCCCGCGCTGCCCCCTCGCAGGCCGTAACGCAGCACCACTATTCTTAAAGCCAACAGGAATTTATAAAAATCGCGAGGAAACGCGTTTAAAACCAAACCCGCGCAAAAGGCGGCCCTTCAGGAGCCCCCCCCCGGCCCCTCCCCCGTGCGCAGCCGTTTGGCCGCCCGCTCGGCCTGGCCGCGGCCCCTGCGCAGGCACTGCTGGATGCGGGACTCCAGCCCCTCGCACCGCGGCCGCTCCAGCAGCGGTTTGTAGGCGCGAGCGCGGACGCCTTCCACAAAGCTGCTGGCCTGGTTGTGCACCGGAGGCTTCAGGTCTCCCCAGAGCACAGGGGCGGCGTTCCCTGGGTCTGTAAAAGAAATAACAACGCACGGCATTCTCCTCAGACCCGTGGTTGGATGGGAACGCTGCTGGGAAAGGCTGGAGGGTTGGGGTGAACGGAGCTAAATCCAGCTGCTGACCCGTCACCAATGGCTCCCCGTGGGTCGGTGCTGGGGCCAGCCCTGTTCTGCATCTTTGTAGATGATCTGGACAAGGGAATTGAGTGCAACCTCAGTAAGTCTGCAGATGACCCCAAGTTGGGAGGAAGCGTCAGTCTGCCTGGTGTAGGAAGGGGCTACAGAGGGATCTGGCCAGGCTGGCGGATGGGCTGAGGCCAATGGAACAATGAAATGGGCTCAGGTTGCATATTAGGAAAAATTTCTTTGCAGAAAGGCTGGTGAGATATTGGAACAGGTTGTCCAGGGATGGTGGAGTCATCAGCCCTGAAGGTGTTCAGAAATGCAGAGATGTGGCACTGAGGGACATGGTTAGTGGGCATGGTGGGGTTGGATTCCATGATCTTAAGAGGTGTTTTCCAACCTTAATGATTCTATGAACAACGCTTTCAACAACGTGTGGTTACCTACTTGTTTGGAACAGTTCTGCCATCTCTTACCTTTCCCTGCAGCCACGGGAGCAGCGTCCAGACCTCGTAACATGTTGTGCAGCACTTGAGTCTTGACGGCGTAGCTGGCCCAGAGCTGCTGCAGGTGGGTAACATTGAACTCCTGCACTTCCCGGTCATAATGCCACTGGATGTTCTCAAACTCACAGTCATACAGGACCAGGGGGAACTCCACAGCCATACTAGGAAAACGGAGAGAAGGCATTAAGAACTGATGGTGAGGTGTTGAAGGCAGGCTATAGAAGGGTTGTGATAGAAAAGGGTCACAGCATTCATGTAACAGCACAGCAGCCTGTCCATTCTGCTGATAACAGCGCTGCCTTTCAGAAAAACGCTTTTCTGAAGTAATTTTTACCAAAGACCAAGGGTTAAGACCATCAATAACTTGTCCAGGAGCACAGCGACAAGAAAATCAGATCCTTAAGGTTATCTCATGGAGACATCAGCAGTTTGCTTTCTTGCTGTGCAGCCTGGGAGGTTGCTACCCATACCTGTACTGTGGTTTTCGAGGGTTCTTCTCCACGTCCAGCAGCTCATCGATGATCTCTGGGCCCTCCATCCTCTGTCCGATCAGGAAGAGGATGGCCATCATGCAGCGCACTTGGTGGTAGAGGAACGCCTGTCCCGTCACCTCGAACTGGCACAGCCGGAAAGGGTCCCGCAGGCCACCTTCAGCTCCCCCATCCACCCACGTTACCTGGGCGCTGAGAATTGTTCTCTGGAAGTTGATGACGCCATTGGCCACGTCCATTTTGCAGAGGTTCCGGAAGTCGTGCGTCCCCACGTAGCGCTGGGCTGCAGCCTGCATGAGGGCCACGTCCAGGCCTGCGCAGGGGAAGAAGTAGCGGTAGGTCCTCTTGAGACAGCTGAACCGGGCGCTGAAGTCTGGCTCCACGGGCGCCCAGGCCAGCACACGGATGTCAGGTGGGAGCACCCTGTTCAGGATGTGGGTGTAGCGCAGCTCTTCCTCGGGTTTACTGCTTCTTCCCTCCGAGTCACCCGTGCAGCCATTTAGCTTCCTTTCCTCCGAGAGGTTAGAGCGAAGATCTAGGGAAATCACCTGCAAAATTGTGAACACTGGGATTAGGTGGTGGATGGGCGTAGTCAGTGTGTAAAGCCAAGTCTTCCTACACCTCTGCTTTGCATTTTGAAATGAACTCAGGATCTCCTACAGAGGAAGGTATCTTAAATTGGTCTTTTACCACTCCTTCCTGTGGGTAAAACTGCAAGTGCTTCTGCTGAGCTTCCTAGCAGATGCTATAGATTCCTTTAATAAAACAGAAGAAGTTGCAAACTGCCTACATAGCACGGTCTCTAAATGGCTTCAGTCTGCAGATACACATGTGCTTTTTAAAACAAAAAAAAAAAACAAAAAAAACCCTGGAGTTCATAACTTGAATCCATTAACAGCTCAATAGGCTTGAAATTGTGGTATGGAAACAAGTGAATTACCACTGCAAGTCCATGAGCATATCTAACCGTGCAAGCAGAGGTGGCCCACACCCTTACTTTGTATGGTTTGCTTCGTGAACTAGAGCAAGTGAGTGATGCAGGCTAAAACCAGCCCTCGCATGGCAAAAGCTGGGCAGGCCTGCTCCCTGAGCACAAGCGGAAGGGAAGAGGAGGAAAGCAAAGCCATCGTAAGGATCTGTGAGGAGGCTGAGCTTTCCTGATGGTTCCCTGCCACTCTGTGGGCCAGCTGCTCCTCCTCCTCCAGCTCCCACTCCCACGCTCTTCCCTGGCTGTTGCTCTCCTCAGACCTTTACACACAAGGACTCAGCTTTCTCACTCTGTGGGAAGCATTCCAGTCATTCTGCTGGGCTGCTGAGTTAGGGCAGATGAGAGGGGTCTGCCAAGCACTGCAGCTGGCACAAGAAGAGCAATATCTATATAGGCAGAGGAAGGGGCAGCTCCCCTTTCTGGCATCTCTGAGTTGAACTGGCAGCTGACCCAACTCAGGAAATGGCAGCCTGAAATGCATTTCATCCTCTCCAAACAGCTCCAGTAAACAATTAGTGTCTGAAAAAGCTTTTAAAAAACAGATTCAACCTGCACTGTCACACAGTGAGCACTTGGCTCGTTGTCATTGACCAGTAACCCCACGAGATCTGCATCCTGAGTTCTGCCACCCCCAGTGGAACCCGTAAACCCATCCTGACCTGTCCAAAGGCACTGACTCCTTTGTCTGTCCGCCCACAGCGGTGATAGTTGGAGGTCTGCCTGCTATCTACCAGCCGTGTCTTCTTCAGGGCTTCAAACAGCTTCTCTTCAATCGTGTTGCTGGTGTTCTCCTGGCTGGCAAAGCCTTGGTACCCCCAGCCGAGGTAGGCGATCCTCAGAGCCACGTGTCTGCGGCCGTGGGCACTGAAATCAAATGGCCGCTGCTGCTGCTTCTTGGATTTCCTGGAGGTTGAAGGGGTGTCCTTCACTGCAGCGCCCTCCTTGCCCTCCGACAGCTTCTCCTGCAGCTGCTTCACCTCCTCCTCCAGGTCCTGCACCCTCCTCAGGAGCTGTTCTCGATCTGTGGCCCAGCTCCCGTTGGCCATACTGAGTCTCTTGGAGTCTTTAGTTGGTGGCTGGCAGCTCCTCAGGGCCTGCAAAGAAAGGAGGAAATCTGTGTTTCTACCTTTTTCTGCCTCTGCAGAATTGTTACCTGTACATTAATTCTTTGGCTTCTTTTTAATCCCTCACTGTACCCAGAAGCACACAGTAACTGTCAAGGGGGCTTGGCTGGGATGATACACTTTGACTCCAGGCTGCAAATCTCCAGTGCTTTGAATCACACATCTTCCCCCAGCCACCGCTGTCAGCAGCTCGGTGCTGGCAGCCCAGCACGGCGGCAGCTCATTCCCACATTTCCTGTGCAGAGCTGTCATGGAGTGGTTCCCATTCTCGCTGTGTTCAGCGAGCATCAACACTTCAGACAGCCTGCTAACAGCTACCAGTCATCCCGCAGCACCATCTGCTCAAACGTTTCGTAATGGCATCACTGCCACACGGTTAGAACTTGCATTTCTAAACCCGTTTAATGGCATAAAGATAGCCCCAAACCTGCAGGCTTCAGTGGGAACACTGTCCACATCCCTTTTGCAGCCAATCCTTCTGCCTTACCTCAATCACACAACTCAGCCTGAAGCTTTGCCTTTAGGCTATGATAGCCAGTCTCTAAACAAACACTTTTTCCTTGTCTATAAATAAAAACACCCTTTCTTTGATGTCTTTAGTCACAACTAGGAACCGTGTTTTTGAGAGAACATACTGGTTTCACAAGGGGAAAATCATCAGAATATCTGCCCAAGGCTTACAGTCACAGAGCGTACTCAGTCCGGCCTGCACTCATCCATCCTTTCATCGAACCTTCACATGCAGTGCAATGCAATTTATGTGCCACATACAATGTTGTACATGGTTGTCTATAGGCTCCTCTCTGGTTTGATGGAGCCTGAATCAGCACCACAAACCTGAGAAGTTTCAGGGCGGCGAAGAGCCAGAGCCAGCCTTCACAGAGCCCCCTTCAGCCAACTCGAATGCACTGCAAGATATTAACCAAATTTCTTTTTGCAGGGTCCAGCCAGCCCAGCAGAAACCATGGAGAACAGGCTGGAAGCAGACAGGCATTCAGGTGCTGCTCTGAGTGACGAGGAGCTGGAAGGAGGCAGCGAGAGCCGCGGAGCAGAAGGGGCACCTCTGTGCTGCAGTGCCTACACTGCTCCCACAGGGCTGCAGCCAGCCCGACCTCCATCCGAAGGGTTCCCCTGCGCAGAGCCCAGTGCTGCCCCATGCTGCCCCAGGGGCTCGAGGAGGCAGGTGATGAAGAGGAAGGTGCTGAGGCGGAGACCTGATGGAGGAGTCCAGGTCTGTGATGAATCGGTCACCAGCCTGCTGGAGAGCATGGCCACGTGGAATCTGACACAGAAAATGCTTCAGCTGAGCACCACTCCAGATGACAGCCTCTCCGAGGGGGAAATCGAGATGAACAACAGTTTTTTCCAGGAGTTCCCCCCAGAGCCTTCCTATCAGCATCAGGGCGCCGAGTGTGAGCCTCCTTTCCTTCTCAGGGTTGTGCAGAGCCAGAGTCCTCCCGCCTCTCACTGCACAGCCACAGCGCTGCAGCCCAAGTCCTTCATTCCCCCCAGGCTGGAGGCGCTGCATCAAAACCGCAGCAAAAGCGACCGAGTGGCCAAATATTTTGAGTACAAGCGGGAGTGGGAGCGGTTCCCTGTGCCGGGTGAGGACAAGCACAAGGACGTGCGCCGCAGCATTCAGGGGCGGATGCTCACACAGCACAGCCACCCCAGCAAACCGCAGCACACCTACGTCCCCAACACCTACACGGTGCCCACGGACAAGAAGAGGGCAGCCCTGCGCTGGGAGGTGCGCTGGGACCTGGCGAACGGCCTCATCCCCAGGAAAAACGCCCCGCTCTGACGTCATCCTGGATGCTCTCCTCTTCCATCCAGAACTCAGCTACTCCGGAAATCTTTCTGTTTATATAAGCGTGTTGGCTGCAGTGTAAAACTTCACCCAGCTCGCCAGGTTATTGGATTTCGGACATCCTTACTTCGCTACTACACTGTTAGAAAGCTTCACTCTGAGTCGCTGCTGGAAAACCGAGGAAGCGGACAGGGAAAAGCCACTCAAACTCCATAACGAAGCGAGAGCTGTGATTTTTACGTTGAAATGCTGCTGCTCCCCCGGACGGGGGGCTGCGCGAGCTGTGTGATGTGAGGCAACTCGGCCAACGTACTTCAATAAAGCGTGCAACAAGGCGCATCGGAGTCGTGCGGTTAAATGGAACCCACGTGGCGCGGAGTCCTCCGGAACCGCCGCCCCGCCGCGCTCCGAGCGCCGCTTTTTCACCCCGTTTCTGACCGTCGCGGCGCGCATTGACACCGCCGTGCGGCGACTTCAGCTCCGGCTGGGATCGGAAGCGCCGACCCGAAGGCCCGAACCGCCCCCGCGCTGCCCCGCACCCCCCGCCCCTACCTGAGCCACCGCCGCCACTTCCGGTGCCGGTGCCGCTGCCCCGGAAGTGGTTGCCTCGCCGCGCGCCCGTCATGAATATTCACGAAGTGTTGAATATTCATGAACCCCTCTTTAAAGCCGCTGTTCAAATCCCATTGAGGCTCAGCCTAGGATTTAAAAATCCTCCCTTGTGGTTTTCCCTCGTGCAGGCAGTTCTCCCTTTGGTGCCGCGGAGACACGGGGGCGGCTCTGTCCCAAAAAGGGTTTTATTTCCCCGTTTCAGCCCACGGGCGCGCACGGCCCGCATCCCGCCCCGCCGCCAGGGGGCGCTGTCGGCCTTCGCTTTGCACGCAGCCGCCGGACGCGCCCTCAGCCCCGCCCCCGTCCGGCCACGTTCCCACGGCGCGACCCAGCGGGGCAGGCGGGGGGTTCGGGTTTGGTGTGCGGGTGCTCTCTTAAATCAGCTGTTCAGGGCTGCCAAACCGCGTCTGAAAGCACAGAGCTCTTCTGTAGCACAAAGGGCAGCGGTACAAAGCAGGGCCCCATGCGTGGCGGCTGTCCCCAGGGGGGCTGTCCCGCTCACACCGCCCCACCACGAACCCTTATCCAGGGCAGTGCTGCAGAAGTGGCGCCAGGAAAAGTGCCAGACCCCAACAAGCAAAGGCTGAGGGTGAATTCGGGAGAGATGAATAATAACTGATTGTGAGAGGAAAACTGGGGGGTGAACCTCCTTTTTTGAGGGGCATTGCAGCTGCCCCATGGGTGCAGTGGGATGCAGCCCATCATGCACTGCAGAACCCCTTGCAGGGCAGCCCCGTCCCCTCCCGGCGCTGCCTTCCTGTGCCGCCATCAATGTTTCATGGCCTGCAGAGAGCAGGAGATGAAATATCAAACCCCGCTCAGTGCCACGCGTCTGCTGCATGTTCAGATCCACCGTTATTGGTACAAAGTGGGGTCGGGACTGGATTTACCTCTTGTAGCGAGAAAAACGGGAAGAGGGAGAGGTTGGGGACATCCTGGAGGTGGGACAGGTGGCAGCGGCACCGCTCGTGCTGTGAGTGCACCCATCCTCGTGCCTGGCACGGGGACAGCCAGATTGCAGCGGCATTGGGTTTCTGCTGTCATTTCATTAATAATTAAAGGTTAATCAGGGCCAATCCGGGGAAACCCGAGAGGAGGTCGGGTTGGGGAGCGCAGCGCAGCACAGGGGGCTCCCAGCATGGAGCGCTGGGGGGGCCCCTGGCTGCTCTGCCTGCTGCCGCTGATGGCAGTGGGTGAGTGCCGGGGGTCCCTCACGGCACGGAGGCACGGAGCCGCACTGCCGAGACGCGGCCAACGCAGCGCACCTCTCACCAGGTCAGCCGCTGGACGCCGGCTCTGCAGCCTATGAGGAGCGGACGGCGACGGGGATACGGGGCCGGGAGGTGGAGCTGAGCTGCGGGATGGCAGCGCCGGCCGTGGTCTTCTGGAGCTTCACGGCGATGGGGAGCGCGGGGCCGCCGCGGGCCGTGGCGGTGGGCTCAGGGCCGGAGGTGGTGGTGGCTCCTGGCGCGGGCGCGCTGGGCCGGGTCACGCTGCGCAACGGCACTCTGGAGCTGCGGGAGCTGCGGACGGCCGCCGCCGGGCGCTTCCTCTGCCAGGGGCTCTTCCCGGAGTGGGGCCGCCTCCGTGTGGGATACGCCGCCGTGATGCTGCGTGTGCTGGGTAAGGTCTCCCTCCTGCCAGTGCTCTGCGCGGCTCCCCTCACCAACTGCCCGTGCTGCTGGCTGCTGCCAGACCATGAAGAGCCCCACTGGGCAGTGAAGTGCCCCGCTAGCCAACACAACTCTGCACTCGGCAACATAGCAACCCACTGGCCAACCCCATTGCCTTCCCACCAGCCGCATAGCAGCTCGTTAGCCACCTCCTGTCTCCCTCCCTTGGCCAACCTGGTGTCCCGGTAGCCAACATGTGCACTCACTGACTCATACACATTCACGCTAGTGAGCCCGCTAGCTGCAGAACGTGGGACATGGAAAGGCCACAACTAGACAGGAAAGGAGGGATGCAGGGGCTCTGGGCAGGGGGCTGGTGGCTTTGGGGACACTCATGGCCCAGTACCCTCAGTACCTGTCTCCAAGCCCTTCGTGCGGTTGACGGCGGCGGCGGCGGCGGAGGGGACAGAGGTGGCCCTGACGTGCACCGTGCGGGAGGGGACGGCACCGCTCAGCTTCTCCTGGCAGCACCGGGAGCCCCACGGAAGACTCCTGGCAGCCCCCGTGGGGCTGGGAGGCTCCGGGGCAGAGCTGCTCCTGGCACCCGCCAACCGCAGCCACGCTGGCTGGTACGCCTGCACGGCCCGCAATGAGGTCAACAACCGCACCAGTGAACCCGTCTACCTCGACATCGTCTGTGAGTGCCCCGGGGCATGGCTCTGCTTCCAGGGGGCCCTAAGGTGGGAGAGATTTTTCACCAGGCCGGGGCAGCCCCAAGGGTTAAGACACCACTGTGATGCAGGTATGGCCACCTGGGTGCCTCCGTGGCCGCCAAGTGCCACATTGACCAGATGCACCAATGGCCATCATCCATCAACATCACAGTGCCTCTATGGCAAACAAGTACCTTGCCACCAAGGTGCATCTATGGCCATCATTCACCACCATCATGGTTCTTCTATGGCTGGCAGTGTGCCACCAAGGCCACCGTTCCCTGTGGTCCATCCATGGGCACCACGCATCATAGCGTGTTCACAGCCACTGTCCTGCACCACCCCCAAGGAGGCTTCACGGGTCAGGTTTCCACCAGTGGGAGGATGTCCTGATTAGAGCTGCGTCCCCTCAGCAGTGGTGTCCCATGGCTAAAGAGCTCTGTGTCCCTGCAGACGGCCCTGACGAGCCAGCCATCAGCGTGGAGCCCTTCTCCCCAGAGCAGGGCAGCTTCTCCGCAGGCGAGCGGGAGGATGTGGTGCTGAGCTGCCTGGCGCCCTCCAACCCCCCCAGCCGTTACATCTGGCTGCACAATGGCTCCCAGGTGCACATTGGTCAGACCTTTGTCATGTCGGCCATTGCCCGGGGCCAGGCGGGCACCTACACCTGCCTGGCTGAGAACACCCACCTCCAAACCCGCACCCAGGCCACCATCGTCCTCACCGTATACTGTAAGTACTGTGGCCCTGGCGTGGTGACAACACAGTGCCCGGTGAGGATGTGGGCGGGAAGTACGTGATGGCACGATGGGGATGCTGGGGTGATGGCATGGGGGGCCCCACGGTGACAGCTCCACACCCACACAGATCCGCCGGCTGGGAGCCCCAGCTGCTCCGCTCTGGCCACTGCTGACCTGCAGGACGTGGCCCTGCGGTGCCGCTGGCTGGGGGGATTCCCTCCAGCCCGGCTGCGCTGGGTGGGCCCTAGGGAGGAGGAGGAGGAGGAGGAGGAGGATGAAGAAGGGGCGGCGGGGCCCAGCTTTTCCATGGCCACCAGCATCGTGCCAGGGGCGGCCACGAGGAACGGCAGCTCCTTCGCCTGCGTGGCCGCACACCCTGCGCTGCGGGAGGGGGCTGTGTGCAGGACCACTCTGTGTGAGTGTGGACACATCCCCAAACTCCCACGTCCCTAAATTGCTTTCCTTGAAGGGCCCTACTGTCCTTCAATCCACGTGCTACGGCTGCACTGCAGAGCACCCCAGAGTGAAGCTGTGTTGGCTGCCCCTTGCTACCCTGTACTTTATGGGGACAAAGGTGGGCAGGAGACGGCTCACCTCACCACCTGTCCCTTCCCAGGGATCCCGGCAGGCAGCCCCACATGCATGGCCGCGGCCACCAAGCATGACGAATACGTGATGCTGCGTTGCCGCTGGGAGGGGGGCACGCCGCCGGCCACGCTGCGCTGGTGGGACGGCCGGGGCCGGGCGCTGGGCGTCCCCACACCATCAGCCACCGTCCTGGTGCTGAGCACCGATACCAGTCTGCGGGGCCAGGACTTCGTCTGCGTGGCCGCGCACCCACTGCGAGCCGCCAGCACCGAGTGCCGCCTCCGGCTGGGTAAGCGAGGTGGTCCCCGTGTGCTGTCCCCACTATCGTCGCCCCACGCCGGCCGGCGACGTGCCACCAGCAGCCCCTCTCAATGCGCAGATGTCCCCGAGCTGGAGGTGGAGCGCGGCGAGGTGGCGGTGCTGGAGGGCGGCGAGGCACGGCTGGCGTGCCGGCAGCGCGGCGGCACCGAGCTGGGTGCCGAGATGGGCTGGTACGACCCGCAGGAGCGTGAGGTGCCAGCGGGCACCACCAAGTACCGGCTGGAGCGCGGCGGGGCGTGGGCCAACCTCACCGTGCGCGATGCCGAGTGGCCGCAGGACGGTGGCACGTACCGCTGTGCCGCCGCCAACAGCGTGGGCACCGCCAGCCTCCCCGTCCGCCTCCGCGTGGATCGTGAGTCCCAGGGGCGGCGGCACGCATCCCCGTGCTGCGCAGGGAGGCGAGCCGTCCCACGGAGCGCCGTCTCGCCGCAGGGTACCCGGCCCCTCCCAACGTCACCATCAGCAAGCTGCGGTACACGCGGGCGCGCACCGAAGTGCGGCTGCAGTGGCGAACGCAGGGCGCGGGCAACCTGACCGGCTTCGTGGTGCAGCGGCGGCCTGCCAAGAAGCCCCAGCGCCGCGTGCCGGGCCCTTGGGAAACGGCCGCTGGAGACATCGAGCCGCACTCCCGCGACCGGCGCCTGGGGGGGCTCGACCCCCGCGTGGTCTATGCCTTCCGCGTCCTGGCTGTCAACCACCGCACGGCCGGGCACCCCTCCGAGGTGCAGACGCCAGGTGAAGCGGGCATGGGACAGCATGCCGTGCTCCTCCGGCATCCCTGGGTGGTGCCAGGCGTCGGCAGGGGCTACAGAACACCCCGGGCTGACTGCCTGTAGGCAGAGCAGGGAGTGAGTAGAGAAAGGCAGAGC